TCCCGTCCGCTCAGCCGTACTTAAGCCACACGCCGGGAGGTTAGTAGTTGGGTGGGTGACCACCAGCGAATCCCTCCTGTTGTATGTTTTTTTTCCCCCTTGGTTTTTTTTTTTTTTTCATCTCTCTCTCCTTTTCCTTTGGCATTTTGAATTGTCCATGAGGATTGTTCATAATAGTGTATATGGGTACTAATTGATTTCCCCAGCGTCTACGCGAAGTCACCGATCCAACATCGTCTCCATCTGTCCTCAAAGAAGAGAACCCATACCACCATCTCCGCATCACAGTTACCAGCGGAGGATGCCACGGGTTCCAGTATATGATGTCCCTGGAGGCCGCTTCGAAGATCGACCCCGAGGAAGACACCATCTTTGAGGCAGAATACTCCCCCGAGGAAGGATCATCTGAGCCCGCCGGTCAGGCTAAGGTAGTCATGGACGAGCCTTCTTTGGAGCTCCTGTACGGAAGTACAGTAGACTACACTATGGAGTTGATCGGCAGCCAGTTCAAGATCGTCGATAATCCCCGGGCGACGAGTAACTGCGGCTGTGGAACTAGCTTTGATGTGACTGATTAAAAGGAGGGGGGGGGGCGAAGGCATCTTGTATTTGTATATTATACTTTTGCATCTGGTGATAGAGTAATTTTTACTATACCCCCTCTCTCCCTTCTGCTTATCTTCCCTACTCTTTCTTCTTCTTTTAATGGTGTTGGCGAGGTTTAGAGTGAATTGGAAAAATGTCATCATCTATTTCATCATGCGAATTCCTACCACATTTGTCCTCTGCTATTTAGCGTGTTGTTGTGCATGTTATGTTATGCACAGATCAAACATGTCGAACATGAATAGTAAGCAAACCAAGTATAGTTAAGCATCGAATACGCCCCAAAACAAGCCTCGAGACTTTTGTAACCACCCCAAACCCGGTAATCAGAGTAGAGTCCAAGGTTGCAACCCTGATGAAAACATGGACAACGAAAGAAAAAATAAAATGAAAGGGAAAGGGGAAAACAAGGGAAACAAAAGATAATTCATGATATTGCTGGGGACTGAGAGGTGTGATTATGGGATGGATTTAACTTCCCCACCGCACTTCTTCACACACCGTTTCACTTTTCACGCCTACTTCTCCGGGTTCTGCCTCTCTGTTTTTTCTCTCCTATCTGCGGTTTGGTCGGAGGAGCCCTGTGTTATCGAGGGGTACCTCTATATGTGCGCAGTCAGGAACATAGCACGTATCTCAATATTTGAGTGCGTTGTCGCCTGCTTCCTTGACAAGGGATCAGACAATTTAGTAGACGCGGGCGAGGTTCCGAAGGTACCAGTCCACCAGGCGACGGCCGGCCTTGGTCTCGCTAACGTGGATGAGGTCATTCTCCAGAGCATAGTCCAGGTCGTTGGCGGCGACGGGCTCACCCTCCAGCAGACCGCCCTCAACCCAGCGGACCTGACGGCTGCGCTGCTTGTTCACCAACAGCCAGGAGCGGAGCTTCTCGGGCTCGACTTCCAGGAAGCCGGCCAGCTTCTGCAGGTCCATCGTGGTGTACAGCTTCAGGTAAGAACGGATGGTAGGGTTGTACAGCGTGTTCTTGACCTCATCCATGAAGATAGCCGTGTGGTGATCGACGGGGTCGACGTTGACAGATGGGTTCTCGAAGTCAGGGGGAGTGGGGCTGATGAACTTGGGGCAAGCGGAACGGAAGAGCTCCTCGAACAGAGGGAGGGCCTCGGGGCCACCGTGCTGGAGACGGTGGAGCTGCTCGCCGTACTTCTCGCGGAGAGCGGAGTGGATGGTGTCGTCGAGACGGGTGGGGTGGAGGGCAACGCAGATGGCAATGAGAGCATACATCTGGTCGTTCTTCTTGGCGATAGCGTCGTAGCTGTTGCCACCCTTCTGGAAGTTCTTGGTCCGGGAGACGTAGACTAGGATGTGGCTGAACATGCGGATGGCGTCACCGTAACGGCGCATCATCATGTAGGAGAAGCCCACATAGTAGTAGGTGGTGAAGTGAGCCGCCATAACACGGGCGAACATAGCTTTCTTGTTCATTTCGATGTCGTCAAGCGTCTTGAGGGCAAGGCTGAAGTCACCTAGCAAGCAGTGGACACGCAGCAGTCCGATGATCGAAAAGTATCCGAGCATCTTGTACAGAGGGCGAGAGCCATACTCTCCGGCGAACGCCATGGGGTCCTCTCCACGCTTGATAGCAGCCAATTGCTCATTGATCTGGGACCTCTGGATAAGCGAGTAAAGAACATTGAGCACGGAGTAGCAGCCCCATGTGTTCGGGTTCTCACGCAGAAGCTGGGCCTCTTCCTCGTTGGAGCCGCTACGAGCGACGCGGTTGCGGTAACGGCAGAACGATTCGAACTGGTAGATGAATTCATCGATCACATCCCAAGCCCAGTAGTACTGTGCAAAGGAAGAGATTCGTTAGCACACTGTATAACAACGGGCTTGGCGCACACATTGAGTGGGGGCACGGGATATGCAGAGAGCAGAGCACATGTAACCCCCAAGGATGTCAGCTGGCGAGCGAGTACATACAGAAGGGACCTCGAGTTCAACAGGGCCATCCGAGTTGAGGATGTAGTGGAAAAGGCTGCAGTAGTTGTCATAGCTTGCAAACTTGGTCTCCAGTGTGGCCTGGTATTCAAGCGGGGTCGCGGCAGCGGCGAGCTGTGCCTGGAGATCTTGCGTCTGAGAGCCAGCTCCAAGGGATGTAGTCCGATCCAGTTCGCTCATGCTATCGTCGAAGTTGACTTGCTCGCGGTAATCGTTGACGAGCGCTTCCTCCTCAACATCGGACTCGTCGCCCAGGTTAGGGTGCGCATTGGCGCGCTCTTCGTACGACATGTTGACAGGTAAAAAGTCTGCGGAGGGAACGGGGATGATCCAACAAACGGTCGACTGAGGGTAGGGCGAGAGGGAGAGGGCACGTCGTCTGGCGGTAACTGCTCGGCGTCGGCGTGTGGGATTTCGATTGTTTCGGCGGCAGTTGAATTTTGAGGGTTTTCGCTTGGCCCCGGTTTGTGCTTATCTTATCTGCGCATAACGGAGCTGATGAGTCAGCTATGAATTACTCGTTAATTTAGGGGAACAAACAAGCAAAATATAGAAACTGAAAAAGGTCTGAAACCGCAACTGGCAAACATTCAAGGTTCACAATATTCTCTTGGATTTATGGATAGACTAAAAAGAAATTAGGGTAAAAAAGACCTACAAATTGTTCGTATCAACTCTCCCGTCATACTCTGACAGCCTCTAGTTATTTCAAAGGACTCTCTATCTCTTTTTACCTTTTGGAGGACTAATTAGGATAATATTGAATTAATCTTAGGTTATTCTGCAAAATATCTTAGGGATTTCCATAGGAACCCAGTTCTGTCCCAGATAATGAAGTAGATAAACCCCAACGCGAGCCTGGACTTTTGCCGATGTGTCGTAAAACCCGTAGCCAACAGCTTGTCTTCCACATGAGAACCGGTGGATGATACCTTGGAAAGGATGACAAAACTCGGGGCTGTAAGGAGGCAACTAAGTGCTTATAAAATACTACTGGGTAGCCTGGTTTCGACCTTTGTGCGGGCCTAGAAGTGTCAACGTACCGACAACAAACACGCTGTGGACCGCCCGATAGGATTGTTGCAATGTCGTAAGAAAGGAAATATGGAGTTGCATGCTAGTCCGCCTGCGACTGGAGATGGTATGGGTTAAGGGTTAGGCTAGAGGATCGTCGGTTTAACACTAAGGTCAATTAGCAAGCACCTAGTCAGATTTGCCGGTCCTCACCTACAAAAAAGACAACAAGGGCTGCCCTCCGTATTGGAGATCGTGGATAAAAGTATGGGGGCATAGTTGTCCAATGGTGTGGTACCGGAAATCTTATCCAGCCGAGATCTTGTCCATATGGTCTTATAGACCCGTGACAGACTCTCCTCTCCTCACTTGTCCCTCTCTTCGTGTCCGTCTCTTCTCTTCATCCAAACGCTTTGGATTTCAGTTTCAGCAGTGCACACAGCATCAAAAGAAGTACACCAAAGAGAAGCCCGCCGACAGTTTTCCCATCTTAAGAAAGAATCATGTTCCCTTACTGCCTGATCTCCCATCTCCCTCAAACAGACAGACAGTTGCCACCACTTCCAGGTGGTCAACTATAATGGAGAATCACCGAGCATCACGTTTCGTATCAGGAGATCGGAATGGAGTGCTAATTCACACAAGATGTCTCTGCAATAGACATACGCGCCTTGTTCGATAGACATATTAGCTCTCTTCGCCGTTCCCTCATGCTTTACGCTTTCCCTTGCTGTCGCAAGAGACAATCCCACATTCTGTACACCGTCGCTAAGTAAACCGCTGACTGATTGCCATGCTTTGGAGTTGATATACATACCGTGAAATCCGGGCTATAGCCACTGGGATGATTCCAAATTTCTGTGGTCGAACACTGTACCGGCTTCGGGGGGCAGTTTGATACCCATGGACTCGGCTGTGAATTCTATATTCGCGAGCATATCTCTAGCGAGGGGGAATCTCTTGCTGAAGGCTACTAGAAACCGACACAATTCAACAAATTCCTCTTTGAAATCATATTCGCAGTTGTCCAAAGCAGTGAGTAAGATACGGGTGCTTGCATTGGCAGGCTCCAGCATTTGGCTGGGGGCATGCCTAAGCCCATAGGCTTCATGGTATAGGAGGAGATAGTCAGCAATCTGCTTCGCTGACCGAAGTCGGATGAGTCGAGCCTGGTTAACATCCGGAAGCGACATGGGGGCGAAGTCTTCGTGGTTCACTAAGGAATCGAAGACCTGGATGATGGCATGGTGGTATCTGATACTACAAAATTACAGTCAATATTCAGCAATCGGTTTGCCAGATGGACACTTTGCTCTTACTGCAAACTCAATACTTGCGGAACTTGTAAAGCCGCCTTGTCAATTTTCAGTACACCGGGCAGGTCTCTCAGCCACGTTTCTAGTCGAGTATACAGGGCGCTTACTGCCCTACATAGGTCGCCAATATTCATATCGAATGCTTCATCAAAAAGCAAGTCTTGCATGCTGACGACCAGTTCCGCGAAGCCTACCGTTTGAATCATTATCTCACGGAGTAAGGCAGGCTTCTTTTCGTATTCAATATGGTTGGAACGAGGATATGGGATCCATACAATGTCGTCATTGATATTATCTCTCACAGGAGGCTCGAATATTGGGGGTTTTAGGTTCACGGGTTTCCGACATTCCATGGACATTTGTCTGAAGAGAATGGTCAGCGAACTTAAAAGAATATGCTCGGGTCGTCTGAAAACTATACGAGTTCAGAATATAAAGTCCCCAAGCAGCAACAGCTCCAGCAGATCGCATATCAACTGACGTGTCTCTCCACCTGTGGTGGCCTGTCCGCGGGGCCTGAAAGAACCCGAAATCTTGTCCAAGCTGCACGGCTTGCCTTAACAGCAGCCAGCTAATGTCGAGCTTTCCCTTCAATTTCAGCCTGCAAATTGTCAGTTTGGCCGCGACAGCATATGAGTGACATTGAACAACGAGGGTCACATACACATGGCTCATCAGGGCAAGAGCCTGGATGTTGGTCAACGATGTACGGCCTTCTTCCGCTTTCCATAAGAGTTCTGCCTCATTAAAGAAATGTGCACCTTTAGAGGCCACATCTCCAGGAATAGCAAAAACTTCAGGAAAATCAGAATATGTCTTATCAAAGTTAGAATAGACTGCTTATCAAGTCGGCAAGAGAACATGCAAAAGCACCATACATACACTTGCAACTGCTAAAATACTATTTACAAGGAAGGGGGTGCAGAATTCAGTATTCTTATTGCTCTCCCTCATATGTCTCAAAAACACTCTCTGGTCAATGATTTGCGACAATGGATGATCCCATGTGAAGTACAAGGAGATCAAATGCGAAACGAGATGATCGTCGTCGGTAACGGCCGTCCAAGGCTTCACCGGCACTTGGAATATGGGGATATCGCAAAGTTTCTCTAGGGTTATTCGAGAGTGAGCATCAGCGGCCAAACGTTCCTGTTGAGCTATGGCGTCATCTGCGTTTCCTAGGGGTTTTGCGTTATCGGAACTCGCATCACCCAAGTCGGCTGGTGCATCCACAACGTTGGCAACATTGGATAGTAGAGCGCTGCCGCGTATAGTCTCCAAGATATGGTTGACCTTGTCTTCATCTGAGGAGCGAAGTGACTCTAATAAGGAATACAACAAGCCTCGATAGTATTCTAACTCCCCGAGAGTACGTCTAGCAGCGACCTTACGCCTGAGGTCGAGCGTCTCATCGAAAACGCATTCAGCGTCTGTGTTCTGACAAGCTTTACAAGGTGCGGGGCGTCCGGTGCACTGCCATGTGGAGAAGATACGTCAGTGGGATGTCTATCGGGGGGAGGGGGACGAACAGAAGTGAAGAATAGTAATTCCCCCCCATAAATCGGCTGGCCTGTGGTACTCTCCTCTTTCTTGAATGCAGGGGCGGAGTTTAAATATCGTCTTACCTTCCGTTTCGCTTGCTTACACGGCAGGCAGGCCGTGGAATTTTTCCTCGGTTTCATGAGAGTGAATGGTTGTTTGTTGACGGGGCCGCGAGGCCCTGGAGCGAGCGCTGGAAGATGGTCCTCTGAAGTCATCTTAAGCTGCATATTTGCTCTCCTAGGAGGAGAAGATCATGGCTAATGTATCAAATCCAGTCTGCCTAAACTGCGGTGTGTCCAGCCAAAGGGATATCGAAAAATTGAAACGGACGGCAGTCTTATTTTTAGATTTTTCATCCGGCAGTAATGTTCGCAGAGTTGGGCAACATCAAAGTTGTTATGGCTTGAAGAAGACCCCACCACCTCTAGCCTCTAGCTCCTTTCACAGTGGTTCAACGCCTTCCGAGATGTCGATGAGATTTTTGGGCGCTTCGCATAGCAGCCATGTCTTGTTACGGCGGTTGTGATATCTTTAGCGGTCGGTGATTGCTATGAGGCTGCGTCTCCCGTACCTAAGGAATCAGATTTGACGGGTAGGTTTCCAGGTGCATATTACAATAGGAAACTCCAATTGCAAATGGCCCAAGGTGTCCCTCTGCAGGGGAAGTGGGGACCAGGAAAAAAGCCCCCTCTAAAGCACGAGACGATTGATTTAAAAATGGTGGTGTGTGAAACAGGCCCCTTTCCTTACTATTAAAAAGTTGCGCAAGAGTCTCGATACAGCTGTTGTCAGGCAGTCTGGAACTGTGACTAAGACCCATGGTACCAAGCTGAATGGCGCTTGGATGCACGCAGATATGAAAATTGGTTCCTGTGGGCTCAGGCTGACTCGTAACTTGAGGTTCCTGATCAACATATTCCAACCAACATCTCTCTCTGCCTATGCACTCTATAGGATGTTCCGGGCCACGGCTTCCACCGATGCACATGAAGCCCGTTGGGGCATTAAGTCCTATGCCTGGTCTATTGGATAGGGGGGCATTAAGTGGGTACTTGTCAACCGGTCTTCCTTCGTTCTTGGCTTTGACATCAGGAATCCCTCACTGCGTCCCCAGAATCACAAAAGAGGTACCCGGGAGATGGATACACTCTATTCGAGTGGCGTCAATTCAGTGCATCGGTGTGCCAAACCGATGTAATTTTGACATGATGACTAGGGACGGATAACTTGTTTGGCCTCTTGCATTTTTGAACATACGTACGGAGTATCTTAACGCTATTTTGGATCTCCCGCTGGCTCGCCTCTATTGGGGACACGCGTATCCGGGAATGGAGCGTACATGCGACCGATTACCAGATGCTTGTATAATATGTGCAACTAAACCCAGCAAACAACGGACCCAACAGGTTTGGGACAACCAGCACCTGACTAGCAACCAAGGAAGGAGAATTGTGATAGGACGAACCTATGAGAACCCCCAGTCTAATTGAAAACTATAACCAATACAATAGGCGGAAAAGATCACCGAGCGGACGATCCTCTAACAATGAGAGTTTTCTAGGCTCTCGTCTCTCCTTTGTCCTACCCACACAAATACCGACTTTAAGATTCAGTCTTTTAATAGTCTTATTAACCCTGCCCACTCAATATGCTTGAGCTTTGCAATATCGATGTCGATCTTACATCAGCCCAGCCCGGCGGGATATGGGAGGCGAACTTTCTTAATTAATGTCCACCCCAATTGTCATGTCTTATCAGGAATACTGCTGTGCGTACATTCAAACCCCGCATAGGGAATTTGCAAGATGCTACGTCAGATTTTTCCTCTTGGACATCTTAACCTACGCTGGAGACGTCAAACCAGGGGCCACCGACCCACAAGTGACATAAAAGTGGCGAACAAGCTCAGCGGTTGTCAGCCGGCGACCCGAAATCTGGGTCCAATTCTGAGCATCACACGAGAGCCTACTAACTAGTAGACCACGCGATATCATTCGCCGTCGAGCCTCAACCCAATACCTTGTAAGCTTTGCTCTTTTCGCGATTCTCGTGGTAATTAGCATGGCAAAGAAACCAAGGGCCCAGCCAGACCACCGGAAATTAGGTAGGTTAGTGGCAACTGTCTAGCTAATCGGTACGTACCATACTTTCAACGTAAAACATTTGGGCCTTTTCCGGCCCACTTCATTTTAATCCTGCTTCCATGCTTCCATGACCATCCTCCTGTACTGTCATCAACGTATGCATGCTCGTAGGTTATCCTGCTTTAGGTCACAGGATTCCCGTGACTCTTGCATGAATACCTTACCTAAAAGAGAAGAGATTCACCGAAGTCACATGACATGGGACCAGGACCACTACTAGTCGTCATTAGCCAGAAGCTCACTATAAAATGTTATGATAACAATAATTCTAGTTCCTATCGTCGGTGGTCATAGGCTTTCACTAAGGCGTTATGATTCACTAGTCAGAAAATTATGAGCAGTATATAATACAAGTCTATTAATCAATCGTCAACCGCTCATCCACAGCCAAGTCGAGCACGAAACTGCAGGAACCCATTGAGTAATGATCTGCTTATGTATAAGCAGCATGATGCCTGACTGTAGTCGGTGAGAAGTGTCACCTCGATCTCACGCATTCTGGGAGACACTGCAGGTAGTAGTGCGTTTGGTCAAGCCGATACATATGCAGCTCAGACAAAGACTTCGATATGCAAGAATCAATGTCCTTCAATAAAGGGGGTATGGAAGAGCACCAGCCCGATCTCGGACCGACAAAAGGAGGATGTTATTCTGGGTGCGAAAGTGGATCTTCACAAGCTCTGCATCATTTCCAATATGGTAGTGAGCTTGATAGGTCTCTACTATGACAGGGAGCCAAGCCCTTGATGCTTGCCAATATTTTCTTGAGGTGATTTTTCGGAGTCCTTTGAGACGCCAAATTATCAGCTATGCTTGACTTCTTGTTTGTGCCCCTGTTTTACAAGGTCTAATTAAAATGAATGAAATCATCCATTACACTCTCTTTGTCTATTAGTTACCTAGTAGAGATACTTGCGCCGAAGATCTTGAAAGACTTTTCAATTAAAATTCTATTTCGGTTTACTCCTTTGTTTGTTGTCCTTTAGACTTTCAGACAGGGTTCCAGGTCTAAAATGGATCTGAGTGAGCTGACCGAGATTAACCCTAAGTCAGATACTTTGGAAACGGCAAAAGCTTTGAAGCACATGGAAAAATCTTTCTCACAGATAGGTTTATACCTATCCACTGAACCAAGCCCATTCACTGCCTTTACTGGCTATCCTTAGTACTTCGAAAGGGAATCCTTTCATGCGACTTTCTTGTATTCGCATTTCCATATAGTATGTAAATTCGGTAGATTAATCAAGTTGTTTCCCTAGGTTTGGTGACCAAGACGTACCTTTGTGTGTATGGTTTGAGGTAGTTAAGAAACAGTTAGAGACAATCTATGGTTGCATATCCAGGATATTAATTACTACGATTGAGGTAGATAGGTAGACCGTCCGACCCGTGGACAACTTCCTGGACACCCGAAAGGGGCTAGAACTCAAGCCATGAGGAGGGTGCTCTCCCCTGTTGAGGGAAGCCATCTTGTCCCTAGAGGGCAATGCCATTGACAGAGTAACCGGCATCGGAGTTGAATGGGTGCTATTGTACTTTACATAGCTGAATAGTGAGTCTTAAGAGGGATACTACTAGTAGTAATCTGGAGCACGGTGGCATTTGATAAAGCACTGTGCCTATCAGGTTTCTCGTAGAGGAGCCAAAGTTACTACCCCCGGAGATATTGAGCCAATCCGACAAGAGATTCCAATTCTGGTGGGTCTTTCGAAATGTATCGCGGGGTTGAGCTTCTGATTGTGATACCAAATTTAATTTTCTCAATTCATTTACTCCTATTACTTATTGCATTGGAGGTCTATTCTTCCATTTCTAAAAAATTTTGCAATATATTATATACATCACCCCGGTCGTCCCAGTCAAATACAACATGGGATCCCGACTACACGTTCAAGAGATCAAAAAAGGCCCCCCACTTCCCTACAAAGATGATATCAGAGCTTTCACACGAGAGTACGCTGAGTCTCTTGACGCGCAAGATCCTCTCCGTCATTTCCGAGACGAATTCATCATCCCATCGAAGAAAGACCTGAAGCGGAAGACTCTGAATGCCACTGAGAGTATGTCCGCTTTTCTCTATCCCCGCTAGTGGTTTCTGTCGCTGACCAATTGTTATCACAATATAGATATTGAGGACAACTCCGACCCCAGAAGTATTTATCTCTGCGGAAACTCCCTAGGTCTTCAGCCTCGGAACACCCGGAAATACCTCGAACACTATTTACGGACCTGGGCAATCAAGGGCGTTACTGGCCACTTCACACCGCATGATGACCAGCTGCTTCCACCGTTCGTCGATGTCGATGAAGCCGGAGCAAAGCTTATGGCCCCCATTGTGGGAGCGCTCGAGAGCGAGGTGGCGGTAATGGGCACGCTAACTGCGAATCTGCATTTTCTGATGGCGAGTTTCTACCAACCCACTCAAGAGAGGTATAAGATCATTATCGAGGGCAAGGCATTTCCCAGTGACCATGTAAGATCCCATCCTTCATTACCCACGTAACGATATCACAAAGAATGGTGCTCATGCCGTCGCGAATTAGTATGCCGTGGAATCCCAAATTCAGCACCACAATCTCGACCCGAAAGATGCTATGGTCCTTATCGAACCTGAAAATCTCGATCGTCCAATTTTAGACACTGAGAAAATCCTGCGGGTGATCGATGAACATGCCTCGAGCACAGCTCTTATACTCCTCTCCGGTATACAATTCTATACTGGACAGTACTTTGATATCGAGAAGATCACGGCCCATGCTCATTCCAAGGACATCATAATTGGCTGGGACTGTGCCCATGCTGCAGGCAATGTCGACTTGAAATTACACGATTGGAACGTGGACTTTGCGGCCTGGTGTAACTACAAGTATCTCAATAGTGGCCCGGGCGGAATAGCTGGTCTGTTCGTCCACGAGAACCATGGACGAGTGGATATGACCAAGGTCGGTTCCAAGGATGAGCCTTTTCGTCCGCGGTTGTCTGGCTGGTGGGGTGACGACAAGAAGACTCGGTTCCGAATGGAAAACAGTATGAAGCACTTGTATTCGCTAACTTCTTCTTAACTGATTTGGTTTGCAGGGTTCGTACCGCAACCAGGCGCAGCTGGATTCCAGTTATCGAACCCATCTGTCTTGGATATGAACGCAGTGGTGGCGTCCCTCGAGATATTCAATCGCACGTCAATGGCTGAGATCCGTAAAAAGTCTTTGGACCTCACGGGTTACTTAGAACATCTCCTTTTGAAATATCCTCTCGATGCTGCCCCGGAGGACAAGCCATTCTCTATCATTACACCTTCGAACCCGGCCGAGCGAGGTGCACAGCTAAGCCTGCGCTTGGGGCCGGGTCTTCTCGACAGTGTTCTAGAAGTTTTGGAGGAGAATGGAGTAGTGATCGATGAGAGAAAGCCGGACGTCATTCGGGTTGCGCCAGCGCCTCTGTATAACACCTATACAGACGTGTGGCAGTTCTGCCAGATCTTCTTCGATGCTTGCCAAAAGGCAGTAAGAGCCCGAAAGTAAAAGTTTAGGTTTTGACGGCTTAACGTGTGTGACGTATAATTTCTTGGTCATATATTGGATGGGTGCAACGATGTTTGGATAAAAGTGCTCAGCATCGGTGACCATGATCAATGACTACGTTTACCTTGCTTTGGCTACCTGCAATGAGATTTCTAGAATCAGAACATGCTGACATCCAATTCTTCCAGGATTGCAACCTGCGAAGGGCATTGCCACGTTCTAACTTGCTCCATGTTGTGTTGCCTTATCTCTGAGGTAAGAAGCTGGCGCATATTCCCCCTTTGCCGCTGGTTAAACTTTCTTTGGCAGAAGTAATGGCAAGCTCCCAGTTGGCCTGTGCTAGAGTTTTAGCAGATCTCGAAATTGCTCCAGTGACCCAATCTCGGGCGAATGGGACGAGTATTCGGGGCTGCCATTGAATAGTACGGACTAAGGTGCCAATATATGTGAGCTATAATTTAGCCATTCCTTCAGCGGATGTGATCATTGTACATGTACTCCAACATATTATAATATAGCTTGAATTGCGTCACATAAAAAGTTTTCATTTAATTTTCTTCTGTTGTTCTTTGTCACCCATCAACTTAAGGCAAAATAAGCCCTCTCCAAAGGTTGCCGTTCAGACTCCCAAGCTAACCAGTCCGATCGTGTAGTCCTGTCCCAGTAAACCGCGTTAGTTTCCAATAGTGTAGATGATTGGTAAGAACCGAAGAATTGAAAAAGGAATAGCATCAACATACGGTAGAAGACCCATCGCATTAACCTTCCACACCCCCAATGCCAGCAGCACGAATTGCATCAAAACATAAACAGCTTTCACTCCAAACAGCTTTCCTCGTGTGGATTCCGTGTCGAATTTAGCAAAGACCGTGTTCGTGTTGATCAAGCCCTGGATGGGTCCCTTGAAGAGCATGAAGACCATCATAATACTGAAGATCTGAAGGCTGTTTCCGGACATGTACATCATGATCGCGTTCATGGGGATCTGCTTCGAAGGTGCCATAGCAATCTCCCACGCTTTCTTCAGCTTCAGCGTATCGGTATCCTCGGATTTGGATGCGGCGGCGGGTGTGGACTGTTGCGTGCGCTGTGAGTCGCGGTTTGGTTAGTATGTTTTATTTTAGAAGAGATGGTGTAGCTGCAATGGCATACATTCTTTCCTCCTACTTTGCTGCTAGAGAAGCCTGGAGGGTCGGGAATGCGGGATGCTGCCTTCGAAGGTTGCGGCGCAGGGGAGTTCAAGGCCACGGCCCATTTCGGTGGAGGGACGGGGTTGAGTGGTTCAGTAGCCATGATAAGTCGGAGGGTGGAAGAAACTGCGGCGACAGAGAATATGCTATAGCAAATTTATTCAAGGGAAGAGGTGAGTCGACGCAAGACAGCAAGCGAGAAGACTGTCGGGGCGGAGGAAGGAAGTTGAGTAGTGGTGATGCTGATGATCCTACGCAGTAAATGGAATTTCTCCACAAGCGCGCGGAGTTGGCGGCAGCCGATCCACTCCTGAGTCTCGCCTGCTAGAGAACGAACTATCGTGGAACGGGTTTCACCCCCCGTCAATGTTTTCTTCTCCTTTTAATCTGCTCTCGAGTTTGGGAAGCAGTCAATTCTTTCCACATTAACCAGACCCGGCACACAGACGACCCCTTGGATGTTGCCCGTGCCGCATTGACAATTCCACCTGGAGTCTACCAGACAAGAGAAAAGGCATGGAGGTATCGGAACAACAGATCAGCTAGGAATTTCTACGAAGCTATTCTAGCTACGCGACCGGTCCTATATTCGTCCTCTGCGATAATCTTATGCGATTTTGATATTTGAAAAGAACCTACCTACACCGGACAACCCGCTTCATTCAACGGAACAGGGAGAAATCCCTCGTCTACCCACTGAAACGCTATCATGAGCTCTGGTGGAGGAGATGCGAAGCTGTTCGCTAGGGTACGTTTGTCTTGGTTTTTTGCTGCATCGTTGGGGTTCAGACCGCATCGATCGGCGGCTATCAAACCACTGGCTTATCATTATCCCCTCATCCCCTCATGTCGGTCGAACCACCTTTGAATATGGTTTGGTCTAGTCTTTGACTGGACCACTATTTCCCTGGCTTTTATGGCACAGACTGTGGTCTATATTGTACCATTTCCTCATGTTTTACGACTTCTTCCGGCCACACTCATCAACCAACCCTCGTCGGACATAAAAAAAAAACCTACCCTATGTTTATTAGTGTGATTCCTTATGCGACACAACATGGCTTACCATCCTCTCGGTCTGCACAGGGTAAAGTCGCGGAGTTGCGACAAGAACTCCATAGCGGCGGCAAGAAGGACAAGAATTACTCCGCGAAAAAGATCGCCCTCAAGAAGATTGTCGCAAACATGACTATGAGCAATAACGACATGGTGGCACTGTTTCCTGATGTTATCGAGTGTATGAATCTGCCGAGCTTGGAAATCAAGAAGATGTATGTTGGAACAAGGGCCGACACATGCTATGGTGAACAACGATCGCTAATACTTCCTTCGCATTTGGTTACAGGTGCTTTCTTTTCTTAGTCAACTACTCGCGAATGAAACCCGACATTGCCTTGAAGGCACTACCTATCCTCGTTAACGTACGGGCCCGTGCATTCCTTACATATACAGTGAAGTTTGGCTTAACCAGTGTGTTATAGGATATGGAAGATACAAACCCACTTGTGCGAGCGCTTGCAGTACGGACTATCTCATACGTCCATGTGCGGGAGTTTGTCGAGGCGACCGTTCAACCTGTCAAGCGTTTAATGGGGGACATGGATCCATATGTCCGCAAGACATCCGCTTTCTGTGTTGCAAAACTCTATGAGCATGATAGGAAAATGGTTGAGAGTTCCGACCTGATTGACAGGTTGAATCACATGTTGAAGGATGAGAACCCAACGGTTGTATCTAGTGTGCTTGCGGCTTTGACAGATATTTGGGGTCGAAGTGAGACTATCTCCCTGACTATCGACTACACAAGTGCATCAAAACTTGTCTCGATCCTGCCTGACTGCTCTGAGTACGTATCTCCACATCACGAGTTTGCTCATTCTCCTAACGCTATACAGATGGGGCCAAACCTACATCCTTGAAGCCCTAATGTCATATGTCCCTCAAGATTCGGCAGAGGCGCTCTTGTTGGCCGAGCGAGTCGCCCCTCGTCTGTCACATTCTAACTCTGCAGTTGTTCTTACTTCCATCCGTGTCATTCTGTATCTCATGAACTATATTGCTGATGAGAGGCACGTTACTTCCCTCGCCAAGAAGCTATCGCCACCTCTTGTCACCCTACTATCCAAACCACCAGAAGTACAGTACCTGGCGCTTCGAAATGCCATTCTAATACTGCAGAAGAGGCCCGAAGTTCTACGAAACGATATTCGGGTTTTCTTCTGTAACTACAACGATCCAATTTATGTTAAAGTGACCAAACTGGAATTAATATTCATGTTAACCACGAAAGAAAACATCTCAGTCGTGTTGGCAGAATTGAGAGAGTAAGTTTTGGCCCGAAGACACCCAAAAATACTCAACTAAGGAACCTCTAGGTATGCGACTGAAATCGATGTTCATTTCGTCCGTAAAGCTGTACGCGCCATCGGCAAATTGGCGATTAAAATCGAGTCTGCTGCCAAAGAATGCATCGATACTCTTCTCGAATTGGTCAACGCTAAAATTCCATACATTGTCCAGGAGGCGACTGTCGTCATTCGCAACATCTTCCGCAAGTACCCCAATCAGTATGAAAGCATCATCGGCCGTATTATCCAGAACATTGATGAATTGGACGAGCCGGAAGCGAAGGCAGCTATTATCTGGATCATCGGACAGTATGCCGACCGCATCGAAAACTCAGACGGGCTTCTACAAGATTACCTTGCCACTTTCCACGATGAAACGGTTGAGGTACAACTCGCCTTATTGACAGCTACCGTCAAATTCTTTATTCAACGCCCGACAAAGGGCCAACAGCTGGTGCCCCAAGTATTGAAATGGTGTACCGAGGAAACAGACGACCCCGATCTCCGAGACAGAGGCTACATGTACTGGCGTCTCCTATCAACAGACCCTGCAACCGCACGGCAGGTTGTCATGGGCCAGAAGCCTCCGATCAGCGCAGAAAGCGAGAAGCTAGACTCTCGAACCCTAGAAGAGCTCTGTCTGAACGTCGGTACTCTCGCAACTGTTTACCTAAAACCAGTCCAGCAAGTCTTCCGCTCCGCACGTACACGGCGACTCCAATATAGCCCTGCCTTACAGAAACCCCGCAACGACGACGGAAGCAATGTCTGGCAATACCCAGTTAGCCCGTCCTCCGCTGGCCCTGTTACCCCTACCTCAGCCGCAAACGGTGCAGCTCCAGCACCAGGCGACATGAACGCGGCGGTGAATGCTGCCGATTCCTACTTCAACAGCGTCGGTACCCAGCAGATGGCGGCGCTGGATCTAGGTGGTCGCGGGGATGGTATTGGAGGCGGTGGTGCGCCTCAGACACAGTATATTGTCAGCCAAAATCAGCAACAGGTGTATCAGCCCCAGCTGGCTGGTGGAGCGGCTACGGGAGAGTTATTATTGTTGTAATGTAGTATACTTAAATTTTGTTCCTGGTTAGACCTTTCTCTTCTTTTCTGTTCTAGCGATGTCAAACGCGGACTTGTGATACCTCTTTAATCATTTGCGCTTTCTTCACTGAAATTCGTCAACTTCGTATTTTCTGTAAGACAAATTATACCAGGAATATTCAGGGAAAGTGACACTGGACGTCCGGTTGATTCGAAGCTGGGTAGCACGATGAGTTCCTAAGGGAACGCCGCTAGTATGACGAGTGTTGTTGTGACGTACTTTGAGTGTCGAAGAGTGTTTATGGATTGATTAATTGATCAGTTCATTACGATACGCCTGGTCTTGATGTGTTTTTATGAGGAAAAGTAGGGATGACGACCCGCGCAAATTAGCAAAATACCCTGCGGAATAGTGATCCTATATTATCATCTTAAAGGGATATCATACTGTCCACTGAAAACATCACAATGAACGCAAGCCATGGGAGAATATTTTATGAAGTGTGGCAACGAACAACCCTGGATAACAACGCCAGAAAGGACCTTCAAGAACGCTGGATGCAAAATAAGGAGAATAGGGGGCCCTAAGCACACTGCCGGGAGACAAGAAAAGGGACAAAATTCGATATCAGTCCTCCATCCGAGCAAGCCCACCACGACTACGCTTGATACGGTCATCCAGGTTATCTTCCTGGAGCTGACGATGAAGACCTGCGACGAATCGACCCTTTTCTGAACGCTGTTTCTCATCTTCCTCACGTTGCTTCTCTTCCATAGCTGTGACATCGGCAATCCGTTGGCGACGAGTGTCTTCCATTTCATCTGCGTTGGATAACATCTCTGCCAGCTTCCGCTTGCGCTCTTCTTCAAGTTCCTTTGCTTTGTTTGTGTCTCCCGCTCCGGTGCCATTGGGACGGTCGCGGGGGTACGAGTCCCTAGGGCCTCTGTTATCTCTTCTGTCTCTGTCATTGTGACGATAGGGCCTATCCCGGCGATCATGGTCTCTAGAATAGTCATTGTTCCTGTCATCCGGGCGGCGCCTATCAGAATAACGATGATCGGCCCGAGGAGAAGGGGACCTGTCACGTAGCGAATCTCTGCGAGAGGACCGATCGTGCCTTTCATCACGGTCTTCGCGTTTGCTCGAACGATGGTCCCTATCATCCCTATTTCTGCGGTCCCGGTCACTCCTACGCTCACGATCCCGATCCCTGCGGTCTCGGTCATCTCTCTCATCCCTGCGTCTCCGATGCGATGACCGCTCCGGCGAAGCAGGAGACCTAGACCGATGGCGATGCGACCGATGACGATGACGCCGAAAATCCCCTTCCTCATCGCTATACCTCCTACTCCTCCTATGTCCACGATCCCTCTCCCTCTCCTTCTCCTTCTCATCCCTAGCAATCACCTTCCCCCTCGCAGCCGCCTCCTTAACCGCATTCTCATAAGCGGCCTGCTCCCTCTTCCGAATCTCCATCAACGGATCCGCCATAACCTTTGTCATCATATCCCTCGGATTCCCCGTCCCGACAACTGGCTGCGCAGCAGCAGGCGCGCCCATCAAATCCGCCCCCTTCTCCAACTTCTTATTATCGTCATGCTTCAACAGGATCCCATCAATTCGTCTCTTGCCAAGTAAATACCCCTCCATCTCCTCAGAGTAATGGCCCGTCGCGCTCGAGGGGGCCTGATACATCCAGTCCACCCGGTTATGCTGCCGCGGCTTGCCCGAGTCTTCTTGTAATCGCTGGAGTTCCTGGATCTGGCGCTCTTCATCGCGCTCACGGCGGAGTTGCTCGACCTTCTTGCGTTCTTCCAGGGCGCG